TAGATCTCGTTGGAAATCATGGAAGGATAAAGAACCTTCACTCCTGTTGGAGCCCATTCTTGAGAAAACTATGGGATTGACTTAGGCTAAAACCTCTATAAGGAAAGCTTCATACTCATCTTTGGATCTTGCTGAAAAAAGCCTTGCTTGGGTCTGCCTTTTGGATAGGAGAAAAGCTAAAGATTCTCCCAAACCAGAACATGAAATTGTAGGGTGTTTTGAAAACCATTCTGAAATAGCCTCTGGAGTAATATCTTTGATCGAGAATTGATCCTACCATTTAACTTTGAAAATTCTTCCTAGAAGAAGAAGATTTGAAGGAGAACTGAGAATTTCGAATTGCCATAGAACTATCCATGACAATGTGAAATTTGTAAAAAATAAGAATGATTTTGGAAATTTCGAAAGCTCATAAAGAGCTTGGAATTTTTCTTGGAAGATTGAAAATCCCTTAGACACAGAATCAGGGATAATTTTTTTGTGGGGACCAAATAAATACCACCAGTCAATAAACCATCTGGGGACATTCATGCTGAATTTCTTTTGGAAAAGGATAAGCCAGGAATGGCTATAATCCTGGTTTTGGAAATAAAAAGTATTGTACCAGACCACTTGATAGTCCCAGTAATTGAAAGTTTGAGGATTACGAGGTTGAGAAAATTTCCTCGGAGCATTGATGTTTTTACCCAAGGATGCTGGAGTAAAAACTTCCTGAATTATACAAGTGGTGTAAGATATAAAAGACTCATCACCAGGTTTTGAATCAGTGTGAATTTTAACGAAATCTATGTCCCCTAAACTCATAAAAATTTTGTGTTTTTCTAAAATCTAATGTAAGATATTGAAATCATTTGACAAAATGATTTTGAGAAAGCAAAATTGTGTTTTTTTAAAAAGTTCTTTTTTAACCACATAATTGTTTGATGGATTTGGTTTTTGAAAATAACGAGATTTTTTTAGAGTGGGATTACTTACCACCACTTATTGTTTGAGGTTTCTTAAGAAAATATGTTTGTCTAATGCTGAAGAAATTTTAGCATAAGATTTTTGTAGAGGAGGGAAAACTAGTTGTTAGGATTGTAAGTAGGTTTGGATGGGGTCATATTAGACTGGGCTCATGTCTATGACATGTTGGGGAATTTTTGTTGGGGCTGAAAATTGGTTTGTATCCATTGGTGAGTGATTAACAGAAATTAATGCTTCTTCAGGCTAGACTTTATCGTACCAGCTTAATTTGAGAGGGGTTTGGGAAGAGGAAGATTGTGCATAAGCATCTTTTGTTTTGTGGGGTTTTGTGTTAACAACTGAGGATCATTTTCCTGTCTTGGGGGGCATAGTGTCCGCCCCTAAACTTCTGTTTTTCCCTGCAAAAAATTCTCTGGTGAGAAAGTCAGGAAGAGAATTGTTTTCACCTTTTATATACTCAATGTGAAACTCAAAAATAGAAAGAATAGCTTACCATCGGGCAAAATTTTGTTTTGAAGCTATGTTATGAACATCTTTTTGTAAAATAGTTTTTTCAGATTGGCAATCAACTCGAACTAAAAATTTTGATTTAATAAATCACTTTGAAATTTTGAAATGCATAAAACTATAGACAAAATTTCCTTTTTAACGGTAGAGTAATTGCGCTGGGCTTGATCCCATGTGCCAGATGCAAATTGGACTAATTGTTTTTTGCCATTTGTTCTTTGCTTAAGGATACCACCGTATCCTAATTCTGAGGCATCAGTTTCTACAATTTTGAAGGATTTAAGATCCACAATAGATAGGCAAGGTAGATTCCTTGCTTTGCTTTTGAGGAGTCTGACTATTCTAGTATGTTCATCTAACCATGGTGTAGGGAACTTCTTAAGTCTTTGATGTAATGGAGCAAAAATAGGTGAAAGATCCTTGAAGAATTTAAGAGAGGTAGTGTAAGCACCCAAAAAATCTTTGAAGCTGGGTTTTTTCCTTAATTTCATTAGGGAATTTGTCAGCAAATTGGATAGATCTGTGAATTGGAATTATAGTACCCAGGTTGATCTAAAAACCTAGAAACCTGGTCATTGTCTGAAATAAGGTCAGTTTGGATAAAGAAAGCACTAATCCATTATGCTTGATTGTCTGAGCAAATACATTGAGATGTTTCCAATGCGTTTCTATGGAAGAAGAAAAAATTAGTATGCCATCAATGTAAACAATTGAAAAATCTGTAAAATTAATAAAAATATCATTCATGATTTTTTGAAATTTGGAATGAGATTTTTCAATCCAAAAGGCATGACATTCCATTCATAATGGCCAAAAGGAACTGTGAAGGATGTTTTGTATCTATCCTTTTCAGCAATTTGGATTTTCCAAAAACCTAATTTGATATCAAATTTGGAAAAACCTTCGCATGAACGAGTCGTTAGATTAGATCTTTTTTGTTGGGTAGAGGATACCTGATCCATTGGAGTACTTCATTGAGAGGCTTGTAATTGATAACTAATCTGGGAACACCTCTTTCAATTTCAGCATTTTTCTGGATATAAAAAATAGCACAGCTCCATGGAGAACAACTTTCTCTAATAAGAGATTTGTTCAATAATTCTTGTATTTCCTTTATGCAATAATCAAAAAGTTCTTGATCATTTGGCTTAGACGAGCTTCGATAAAGATATTGTTGGCCCTAAGTTACCTTAAGGAATGTTTGTCTTCTAATGTCAAAAAGTATTGCTTCAGTAGTCTATAATATTACATTTTAATACTTCAGCCTCGGATAGTGAAGGTTCAGCACTTTAGTTTTAGCTACAAGTGCTCACAAGGGTACTATGGTTTCTTCTCAGTTGTATGTCATATATATATATGTATGCTCAGGTAGCTGCATTGCATTAGATTATCTTGAATGAACCTGCATTGCCCTTTATACAGCCTCGGGACTTTTGCTTAGTTGAGAAGTATAAAATCTGTCACAAGGGTATTTTGGTACTTTCTAGCTCTGCTCAAATATGAGACACATTTCAGTGGTCCTAGAGAGCTGGTATATGCAAGAATATTACATTCCTTAGAGGCTGAGTTTTGATATAAATTGAATTCAGTACTCAAACTTGTAACCGGATGCAGCTGGTAGAATAGTGACAAAATCAGCTGAGGTGGCAGGCCTACATTGGTCTATTACCCTGAAAATATCTAGATTGTACTCTCCCAATCATTGGTAGAAAGTGACAAGTGTTTTGTAGCAGCTGTACAAGGTCCGCTGTGAGTACAATAGTCTATATATGCTGCTATAAGGCTCCTTAAGGTTTAAGCCTCTTGAATTTACATTGCATATTGAGCTGTTGCTGAGTACCCTCAAGTATACTATGTCAAACAAGTTTTTCTCTACTATTTGATGATGATCTATGCAAGAAAAACTCATTGAATCAACTCCGAGGCGTGTACTGATTGCTGAGATGAGGCTGCTGTCAAATTTGCTGATGCAAGGGCTGTATTGAGTAGTGACTTGGTGCTTCAAACTGCTATGGTCAATTCTGAACGTTGACGCAAGTATAATTCATCTTTTTACACATATTCAGACTGAGTTTGTGTTAAGAATATGTTGAAAATGAATTTGGACAGTGTGGTCACTAGTTAAGCTTATTTTTCTGAAGAAATCTTGGATTCAAGTGCTATTTGATTATACTTAGCTATTTCATGATGATCTATGCTGCTAGCTAGTATATTTTGATGAATTAAGATTGTTACAGTTGAGTTTATGACAAAAATGTGATATGCTTTGAGTTTTAGTATTCTGTGCCGAAGAAGTTTTATGCTGAAGTTAATATGTGTTGAGGCTATTTTGTGCCAAAGAGGTTTTGTACTGAAGCTATTCTGTACCGAAGCTATTCTGTACCGAAGCTATTCTGTGCTAAAGCTATCTTGTGCCAAAGCCTATCTCGTGCTGAAGCTTTTTGTGCTAAAGCTGTTATATGTTAAACCAAGGACTTTGACTTAACGATGTGATATACTCATGCTATGTTTGATTATGAAAAGCTATGAATATGTGTACAACAGTGAAAGAAGACTGTATGAGGTGCTGGTGAATTGATCTCAAAAGAAATTTCCCATTTTACCCCTCAGACCGTAGATGCAGCGGATTACTATTCTGAGGCAGTAACTTCGAATTCTGGGTTGTCCAGCCTATTCTAATTATTACAAAGACTTTATTGTATTTAGTGTGTTGACACTTATTGTAAGTAGCAGTGAGGCTTTAAATCCTCACCCCATTATTGAGTGAGCTATGAGAGCTTATTTGGTCCAAGCATGGTTACTTAGGACATGGGGAGTGCATGGATGCTATGTGGTGTACTAGTGTGTGTGTTAGTTATGAAAACTAGTGTCTATTCTTGTGCCTAGGTGTGTGCAGAGAGTGAGATAGTTGAGTGTGTAACAAGATATATATAGCTAGTAGGGGATTGCTTATTGGCCGAGGCTAAGAACCAAGGTTTTCCTTAGTTAAGAGAGTTTCCTTGTAAACCGTGTGTTATCTGTTCTTGAATGTTTGCTTAGTTGTGTAGAGAAAGTTTTAGAAAACAAAGTTTTAACCAATTCACCCCCCTTCTTGGTTCAACAATTGGTATCAGAGCTTTTGTCTGTATTGTGAGGTTCTAATAAGCCTGCAATTGATCCCAGCAATGGATGAAGGTTAAGTTATTAACAAAGCTCCAGGGTTTGAAGGTTCAAACAATGATTCTTGGAAAACTAGAATGGAAACCTTCTTAATGTCTCAGTCCTATGATGGTTGGCATGTAACCGTACATGGTGTTGTGATTCTTAATCCTGATAACCCCTCTGCTGAAGATAAATTGGCTGTGGCTAGTGATGGTAAGGCCAAACATGTTCTCTTTTGTGCCTTGAGGTAACAAGAGTTTACCAGGGTTAAAAATTGTAAAACAGCCAAGGAAATGTGGGATTCTCTTTAGGCAGCTCATGAAGGAAATAAGGTTATTAAGGAGAACAAGATACAGCTATTCAAAGTTTAGTATGAGGTGTACAAGATGGAAGAAAGAGAAACTGTTGTTGAGTACATGTTCAGGATCAACGATCTTGTCAACAATATGAGAGCACTTGGTAAAGATATTAAGGATGTTGATGTTTGTAAGAAGATACTAAGGTCACTCACTTCTAGATTCAATCCTAAAGAGACAATTCTCAAAGACAAAGATCTTTCTGAAGTGAAGCTTAACGAGCTTCTGGCCTCTCTCACTGCCTATGAAATGAGAATTAGTGTTCCAGCTGTTCGTAGAAGAGAAGCTGCTCTTAAAGCAAAGGAAGTTGTTTTAGAAACTAAAACAAAGTCTTAATATGATCTTGAAGAAGATGAGGTAGCCTATCTTACTAAGAAATTTAGAAAGTTCAGGTTTAAAAAGAAGAACCAGCTGCAAAATTTAACCTATTCTGGTTGTGGTAAACCTGGTCATGTTGCATCTAATTGTCCAAACTCAAAGGGCCAAATTCAGAAGAAGAATGAGGGAGGAAACTATAAAGGAAGGTTTAATAGGAAAGCTCTTATCTCAGATTGGGACGCAGCTCCTGAAGAAGATAAACCTGAGGAGACACAAGAAGATGAATGTCTCTTTATGGCAATTCTCGAAGCACCACAAACTCTAGTTCAAGTTAAAGAAGATAGTGACACTGAGATTGAGGAAATTCTTAAAGAATGTGAAAGGCTTGCAGTAAAGTGTAATCAACAGAAGTCCCAAATAAAAAAGCTCAATTCAGAATTGTTAAAGTCCAAACAAATTCTCACTAAACACTTCAAACTTAAATTGTCAATGCTGTGTTCAGTTTCCCTAATTTTTCAAAGCTTATTTTTTTTTTTCATAATTGTGGTTGTATAAAAACAAAAAGAAAATATCAACACTCAGTGGTCTAGCAAGAAGTACAAAGAAGAACTGTCTCTCATTTTTGAAGAAAGATCCTTAAAAATGGCTGAGATCCAGAAGCAATCCACATAGCAAATTGGGAAGATTGGAATTGGCTATGTGTGTGATTCAACCACAAAGGTCAATCAAACTCACTTTGTATTTGTTAAAGCCACAACTGGTAAAGTGTATGCATGGTTTCCTATCATAAAGCCTCAGAGGTTCAAGGGTGAGTTACTTAATAACACCTACAGTGCTCTAAGCTTCAATAAGAGAGACTTTGTTATCACAGCTATAAGGAACTTCAAGATAACTAGAATGTATGTCAAGAAGTCAGACTTAGCTTCAGCTCAGAAGGTCAAGTACAGAGGATCATTGATGAAAACTAAAATGATGTGGATTCTGATGAAATTAAACTCTGTGAGCCTTCTAGTGTATACAGTTTTTAAAGCTTGTAACACTCAGGACAAATGGTATGTTGATAGTAGCTACTCTAGACACATGACAGGTGATGAATCCAAATTTACTTCTGTGAAGCAGTTTGATGGGGGAAATGTTATCTTCGGAGACAATCAAAAGGCAAAAACTAGTGGTATTAGAAATATAAACAAGTCTGAAGAATTACCTAAGATTCATGAAGTTCTACTTGTTGAAGGGCTCAAACACAATCTTCTCAGTGTTAGCCAACTGTGTGACAATGGAAAAGAAGTATGCTTTAATAAAAAAAAGTGCAGTGTGGTTGATCTCAGATCCAAACAAGTCATTTTCTCGGCGTATAGATCCTCAAGAAATGTTTATACTATCACTGAAGAAACTTAGAATACTCAATGAAATCTGACAACTTATGATGAAGCTAAGCTATGGCACAAAAGATTAGGACATCTGCACTCAAGAAATTTGTCTAAAATCCTCAAACTAAAAGCTGTCAAAGGTCTGCCTGATATTAACTTCAAAGAAGATCATCTCTGTAGAGTTTTTCAGCAAGGAAAATAAACCAAAGGCTCATTTCCCTCCAAGGAAACCAACTCTTCAAAAGCTCTTGACTTGATACATATAGATCTTTGTGGCCCTACTAAAACCACTAGTGTTGGTGGAAGTAAGTATTCCATGTTTCTTATTGATGATTTTAGTAGGATGGTATGGGTTTACTTCTTGAAAGAAAAATTTGAAGCCATTACACACTTCATTAAGTTTGTTGATCTTGTTGAAAATGAAAGAAGTAGCACTGTGAAGAGATTTAAGTCTGACTTCAACTTAGAATTCATCATGAAGGAGTTTGAGTACTACTGTGATAATAAAGGTATCAAGAAAGAGTTCTCAACTGTTGCTATTCCTCAACAGAATGGGGTTGTAGAAAGGAAGAACAGGACAGTCCAGGAAACGGGTAGAACAAAGCTTCTAGAAAAAGGTCTAGCAAAAGGTTTTTGGGTTGAAGCTATGAGTATAGCTGTGCACATCATAAATAAGGTTTTTCTCAGACCTAATTCAACCAAAACACCTTATGAATTATGGTATGGAAGACCTGCAACTGTTCACTATTTCAAGGTGTTTGGCAGCAAGTGTTATATACTGAACCACACTAACAGTTTGGAAAAGTTTGATTGAAAGGCTGATAAAGGCATATTCTTGGGATATTCTACAAAAATCAAGGCTTATAGATGCTAAAATCTCAGGTCTTCGAAGGTGGTTGAGTCAATCAATGTGAAGTTTGATGAGAATTCTCAGTCAACACTTATTGAAGACAGTAACAACACATCTGGTTCAAATGAAGCCAGTACCTCAGTTCCTGAACCTGAAAATCCAAGAGAAATCACCTATCCAGTGCTGCAGAAATAGGTTCAAGTTGAGAACATCATTGGTTCATCTCAAGCTGGAGTTTAAACAAGGCAAAAAGAAGCTAAATGATTTAGAAACTGAAGATGGTGAAGAATACAGTCACTTTGCTATGCTGTCATCCGAGGTGTGTACTGATTGTTGAGATGATTCTGCTGTCAAAGTTGCTGATGCAAGGGCTGTATTGAGTAGTGACTTGGTGCTTCAAACTGTTATGGTCAATTTTGAAGGTTGACACAGGTATAATTCATCTTTTTACACTTGTTCAAACTGAGTTTATGTTGACAATATGCTGAAAATGAATTTGGACAGTGTGGTCACTAGTTAAGCTTGTTTTTCTGATGAAATCTTGGATTCAAGTGCGATTTGATTATACTTAGTTGTTTCATGATGATCTATGCAGCTAACTAGTATATTTTGATGAATCAAGATTGTTAAAGTTGAGTTTGTGACAAAAATATGATATGCTTTAAGTTTGAATATTCTATGCCGAAAAGTTTTGTGCTGAAGTTAATCTGTGCTGAGGCTATTTTGTGCCGAAGAGGTTTTATGCTGAAGCTATTCTGTGCTGAGGCTATTCTATGTTGAAGCTATCTGTACCGAATCTATCTTATGCTGAAGCCTATCTTGTGCTAAAGCTTTTATGCTAAAGCTGTTATAAGTTGAACTAAGGACTTTGACTGAACGTTGTGATATACTCATGTTGTGTTTGATTTTACAAAGCTATGAACATGAGTACAACAGTGAAAGAAGACTGTATGAGGCGCTAGTGAATTGATCTAGAAAGGAATTTCCCATTTTACCCCTCAGACGGTAGATACAGCGGATTGTAGTTCCGAGGCAGTAACTTGGAATTCTGGGTTGTCCAGCCTATTCTAATTATTGCAAAGACTTTATTGTATTTAGTTTGTTGACACTTATTGTAAGTGGTAGTGAGGTTTTAAATCCTCACCCCATTATTGAGTGAGCTATAAGAGCTTATTTGGTCCAAGCATGGTTGCTTAGGATAGGGGGAATGCGTAGATGCACTATGGTGTACTAGTGTGTGTATTGGTTATGAAAACTAGTGTCTATTCTTGTGCCTGGGTGTGTGCAGAGAGTGAAACAGCTAAGTGTTTAACAAGATACATACAGCTAATAGTGGATTGCTTATTAGCCGAGGCTAAAAACTAAGGTTTTCTCTAGTTAAGAGGGTTTCCTTGTAAACCGTGTGCTATCTGTTCTTGAATGCTTGCTTAGTTGTGTTGAGAAAGTTTTAGAAACAAAGTTTAAACCAATTCACCCCCCCCCCCCCTCTTGGTTCAACAGATATCTCTTTCGTTGAAAGTCCTTTCATACGGTAATTCATTGACGTGTTGCCTCATATGCCAGAAAGCGTTTGGGAGGTCAGAGCAAACTTGTCTTTCAAGCCTTCTATTGAATCTTTGAATAGATTATTGGAGGCTTTTATGGTTGAGACATTCATCAATCCACTGGAAAATAAGTTCTTCCTTGAGAAAGTCCAGATGCATTGTTTTGCTTTCAATACTGTTGATAGCTGGGATCCGAGTGACGTAGGATTCCTTAATGGTATTGAGATCTTTGGTGCCAATAGGATGAGCAATTCCCTGGCCATCAACTTTGAATGGGTAAAGAATAGAAATAAATGGAGTTCCGAGAATAACAGGGGTATTGAGGTCTTTGACGAGGACAAAAGGTGTCTTGATATAAAGACCTTGGTTGCAAACATGGTTGTTAATCAAATAACCCTAAACCATTAATTTTGATGATAACAAATCATTTAAAGAGGTTTTATATACTAATGTTTCAACTGAGTTTAAATGCAATGAAAATGAATGCTTCTATAAAAAGGGGAAGAAATGAACTTCATGACATGATATGAACTCGGATGCACATACTTAAAATATCCAAAGGCTACAGGTGTTCTACAAGAATTCATAATCAACTAAAGGCATTAAGAAGAAGGGTAGATAGGATGTTGAGAGCTATAGGAAATCTTGTCAAAGTAAAGATGAAATTAATTGAAGCTCAAAATCACTAAAATCATGCATACAAGCTGTACTCAATCATATTCAAAGTATAAAGGCATTATATTGTCAAAGCGCAACAGAAAAGGGCTCAAAACTGTAGGATTAAGCAGTTCACGTTGACGTCTACTAAGTTCATGTCGACCGGTATCTAGGCAGTAGCAAATTTCAAGAAAAGGCTCGTTCACGTCGACGCCTACTAAGTTCACGTCAACCGGTATCTAGGCAGTAGAAAATTTCAAGAAGAAGCTCATTCACGTTGACCGGTTTAATGCATACGTCAACCGGTTCATGAAAATACGTCGACCGATTTGCAACACACGTCCACCGGCTCATGCAAAGACGTCGACCGGTTTGGTCATAGCTCTGCAAATTCAAATTTTGAATGGCTAAAATCTCTTTTAATAGCTATATTGAGCTCGAAATCTCTACAAATACATAGGGTTGGACTGAAGATAATATATACAACTAAAGAGAGCATTCAACAAGATCATTCAATTGCGTTCAAGAGCATTCAAAGAGCCCAAAAATTCTCATATGAGCATTTACTCCTCATTACTCCTCTCATATCAGTTTAGAAACTTGAGCTTCATTTATTTCATCTACTTATTCTAGTGTGAGATTGATTTGTGTAACATTTCCTAGAGAGAGAAAGAAACAATCTTGTAACTTTCATTCATATATGTACAAACTTGTAAGGGTTGGTGTGACCCAAAAGAAGCCTATGAAAAGGGTGTTTTCTAGCAAGGAAGAGAAGCAAAGGCTTGTTTCATTTGAAGGTTTGCTCTCCACCATTAAGGAGAATCCATAGTGGATTGGGAAGTCTCAAGAGCAATCTTGAACCAAGGAGTAAGAGTTTCCAAACTTCGCTAAAATCGGCGAGTCATTGTTTGCAATTTCTTATCTCTATCTCATTTATATTTGTGCTATAAATTAATTAACTATCTCAATTAATTATTTCTTGATTGGTAGTTAGAAATCATTTTTATAATTTGCAAAAATTGGCCATTGACTCTATTCACCCCTTTCTAGAGTCAATTAGTGTTCAATAATTGGTATCAGAGCCTAATCTCTAGTGAAAGATTTAATCATCTTAGAGAACGATCATGGCCAATACTAATTTTCCTTAAGAATGTCAATCTAATAATAGGCCTCCTTGGTTTAACGGAAATGAATATAACTATTGGAGAATCAAAATGAGAGCATTCCTAAGAGGACTAGATATAGATGTTTGGAAAGCCACCGAACAAGGGGACCATGTTCCATTCAAAATTGTTGATGGTGAAAAAGTTCCAACGACCGATATTGAATGGACCCTCAATGACCGTAGGCTTACAATGTAATGTCAATGCTATCACCAATCTCTATTGTGCCTTAAGCAAAGATGAATTCAACAAAGTTTCAAATTATGAAACGACCAAAGAAATTTAGGATACAAATGAAGTTACCTATGTAGGTACTAGTCATATTAAGGAATCTAAAATGAACATGCTTGTCCATAAATATGAACTTTTTACCATGAGTAACAAAGAAACTATTAGTGAAATGTATTCACATTTTACTAACATTGTGAATCCTCTGAAGGCTCTTGGAAAGTCTTATACATCGTCCGAAAATGTGAGAAAAAATCTTAGGTCCTTGCCTAAGAATTGGGAAGCCAAGAAGACCGCTATCCAAGAGGCTAAAGATCTTAACACACTTCCTATAGATGAACTCATCGGCTCCTTGATGGCCTATGAGCTAGAGATGAAACAAAGAAACTCCAACTAGGTTGTAATTGATAAAGCTCTCAATAATGAAGAGGAAGAAGAAATTGCTCTCATCACCAAAACCGTAAGAAGAGTACTTCAAATGAAGAAATATCTAAAGGGCAACAACTTCAAAAGAAATGGTTCATCAAGTGAGCAAAGGAAAAAAGAAACGCTTACTTGCTTCCATTGTGGAAAACCGGGACATTTC